CTTTAGGCTGAGTCAGAATCAAATTACGGATAATGGGATACATTATATATCGGATGCATTAAAAATCAATAAATTAAGTGACATTTTTAGTTGATTTTCTAAGTATTAATCTGTATTTCATCACATAAATTCTTATAAAAATGTTTCTTTAAATCAGAAATTATCGAAGGAAAATTCTCTAAGACAAATCATATGAAGTATTTCTACGTCTTCAATAAATTTATACGGAGAAAGTAAAACAGAATATTTTATTCGAAAATAATTAAAGAATTATTCTTTTAGGTTTCTATCGTCAAAATCTATAAAAGGAATCATTATTAACTAATAAAAAAGTATTTTTGTCTTGAAATTAATTTTTATTTCAAAAATCTATTCATCAAGAATTTAACTTAAAAGATTAATTGTTGTTTTATCCGATTATATCAATATAGAAAATTTTCTTTTATTTTACTTAAAGATAATATATTATGCAATACTATGAAAAAGAACATAATCAATCTGTAAGTTTTTCAATCATAGATTCATATCAAATGACAACAATAGGATATATTTAACATTGAAAAGTTTAATTGTAAATGAAATATGTATATTTTATTTCTTCATTCGTTTTTTCTATTTTCTTTCAAATTCTACAATATTGTGTAAATAAAAGTAAAATACAATTAATAATCTCTTTTGTTAATAGTTCCATAGGGTGTGGGTGTGCGCATGTGTCGTGGGGTGGAGGTATAAGCACATTATTCTATTCACTTACGTCCATCCATACCCACTACACGCCTATATCGATAGTCTCTATCGCGTAGCCTGTCTGATAGAGGAGGGGTTCACATTTCTCTCTATGAATCTCAACTAGTAATTATGTTCAATGAAGTTTCACAAAATATTAAGAAGAACAAAATTTAAAATTTAGAAACGTGAAAATCTTTGAAAAAGTCTTACAATGCAATGAATTTCAAGCGTATTTTGCTACATACTAGCTCGATAATTTATAGAAAACCATAAGGGTACGATTTTGCAATTTTTTTTTATAAATGATATGTTGAATTCAATCGGGCAACGCTGGATACTTTGGCTAGTTAAGAAATACTGAAGAGAAATAACGCTATTATCTCAAGAATAAAAAAAAAGCGAAATTTTATTAAGCATTGGAAAGATTAAAAATGCTTTTTTTGACACTATGAAAAATTATTTCGAAAGTATTTTGATGAGACTATCAACAAAAAAACTTAAATTATGCAGGTAATTGAACAAACAGAAAAATTTATTAGTAAATCAAGTTTCTAATTAGTTGGATTGATTATTAAGCAACAGTATCTTTATTTTCAGAGATCAATCAGTAGAAAAACTATTTCCTAATATTATTAAACAAAATGAAAAATCCATTTTATATTATTCAAACCTCACTGAAAAATTTTACTTTTGTCAAATATCTAATATGTATTAACAAAAGTAAAAATAATTATTTCATATTTAATGCAATCTTAATAATTTGATATCAATTCTACTATGAGAAAAATATTTTTGAACTATAGAACGATATAGTTTGAATTTTTCAGGAATAATTTATCTATAAATATGAAGAAAAAACAAATTACGTCAATCTTTTAACTAATTGACAAATATCTTGATCGAAAGTTTGGATGTTATTTTAAGAGACAAACACAACCTACACCCATACCCATCCAACTAGTATAACAGTTGATATTTCGTGCGCTTATTAATTATTTGTAAGAACGTAAAAAAAAAGAATTTTGTGAGAAGATAAACTTCTCAGAAAGCTATATAATCTATTGGATGATATTATAGAAATAAAAGTTATTACCTTCGACTTCCTGAAATGGAAAGAAATTTTTCGAGTCAAAAAATGATTATTGAATCAAAAGATAGTTTTTCATATGATTTATCTTGATATAAGGACCCAAAAACAAGTTAATTCATTCATTCGAGTTTCTTTTAATGGAGACTTGTCGTTAGATTACAAAAATTGATTATTTGAGATATTGACATGTTTATACTCATGAGAATCTATCATAAGATGAAATTGAATTTTCTTGATCGTACGAAGAATGTCGGGTTCACATTTCATATTTGAGAGCTTTCTCTTTTCACTTGAACAAAGCATTACTTGTTTCAAAAATCAACTAAATCATTGATTCATATCTTGTTGTATTAGTGATTTGTTGACATCAATTGAATGATGAAAATTGAGAAATATAAGAAAGAAAAGAATTGTTTTGTTTATTGAAAATTCTTTTAAAAGTAAAAGGTTTTGTTGTTAAATCTATTTAATACATTGGACCATTCAAGAATGTTTTGATATTGTCCAATAAAATAGACAATTGTTTGTAGTTATTGAAAAAATCGTTGTCTATAAAATGATATCATATATAAAGAATTCAATGAAGTATCTTCTGAGTTTGTATAGATATCAACTTGAGAAATGATAAAATCAGATCTAAGTACAAAAGAATCTTGTGAATCTAATATGTCATCATAGTAGTAGATAATTGTAGATGTATTCATGAATTTCTCATTATTTTTCTCTCTTATAGAAATTGTTCAACAGAAAAAGGAGCTTCTTTGATTGAGCAATAGTCTATTTTGTTTTTATTTATTGAAATCTTTCGTCAAACTGTTTTGACATATATTCATTTTCCATGATTTTATAAAGACAATTAGAAAAAAGTATTAATTAAATAGATATATATTTTTGCCGAGTTCGTTATGCACTGAACTGGTATATTTATCGAGTTTTGTCAGATATAGAATTTTATTGAGATATTTATTTAATTATTTTTTTTTTCTTTCCAAAAAAATGTTAAGTAAGAAAATATAAAAATAAGACATTTAATTTGAAGAGAGCATCTATTTAATGTATCAAAAGGAAATTACTAATATTGAACGACATTCCCAATCACCTTGTTGACTACGAACATACATAAGAAGTGGCAACATGCTTATATGTCCTTAAAAACAGTTACTTTTCTTTCATCTACCTTTCTTGAATGTTTTACTAGTATAGGCACTATTCCCTTATTCTTTTCCCCTATTTCTTTGTGTGTTTTCTCTCAATTTTTTAAAGAAACGGCTATTAGTGAAAAAGATGGAAGAGTTATATTTGTCCAGTTTTTTTATCATTATTATAATCAAGCAGAAAAAGTGATCATATATATATGTTGAAATAGATAGGAGTTTTTTTTTTGTCATCAGTGATTGTTTGTTTATTAAACAGGTATTTAATATTGACAGATGCTTCAATAATAATATTAAAAATTCAATAATTACTTAATAACCAGGCTTGCCAAACATTCTGATTTCAAGAGCTGTTTTCAACATTTTTTCCTAATTTCTCTTGATTTTTTAAAGTTTTATTCTACTTGTTTGGTAGTGATATTTTGAACTAGTAAGAGACTGAAAAGGAATAAAGAAAACTCTTGGAATGTTTAATAATTATATTAATGAATAAGAAAATACTTGATTCTATCTTATTTTTCTCTAAAAAAAAAATAATCATTAGTTACATGACTTAATTTTATAAAGAGTGCTTGTTTTACTGGAGATAGCAAAAAAGTACATGTTATTGTGTGGAAAACAAGAGACCAATAGACAAAATTTTATAAAACTAAACAAGATATCTTTCATCTAGAAAGAATTTTACATTTCATAGAAATCACGTCAACTCATTTTTAGCTCAGAACACGGCAATATTCTGAATAACTTAGCAAGATTTCTGCGTTTTATGTTCATTATTAGAAAGCTGAAAAGAATGAATAGATCTATAATATGACAAAAATAGTGAAAGCATCAATAAAAAAAGAAGCAGAAGTAATAGTCATATCGATAAAATGTTCATTTAATAGATGATAATAGACTTAAGAGAAAAAAACTTCGTTTGTTGAAAACTAACTTATCTTGTTTTTATAGCACATTAACTATATAAAACACTCATTGTAGAGATGAACCAATAAGCACTTTTTTTCAACTTTGGCAAGAGTCTTTCTATTGTTCTATTAATTTATAAATATTTTTCTTGAACTTCACAATGAAAACGAATTTTCAATGATAGATCAGAGTAAAAGAAAAGAATTTGGAAAAAATGGAAAATACTGATCAAATGTATTTAACAGATATAAGTAAAAAAAACGTTTTCATGGTTGTACTATATAGAAAAAACCATTAATTGTGAAAGAACTCGAACGAAAATAATCTTATTCCTATTAATTTATTGATCATCAACTTGATATAAAAGAAACCAAAGTGTTTATGTGAATGAAATTCAAATTTCCTAATAGAAAATCATCTAACGTTCTTTTAAATTCAAATAGAAAATCTCCTGATTTCCAAAATTTCGATTTGGCTCAATAAATATCATTAGAGACGTTAACAAAAAATATTATCATTTGAATTCATCGTACAAATCAATAATAATTTTATATTTATTACTAAAAAAACAATAGACATTTATTCAGTTGGTAAATCTTTTCTATTGTTCTATTATCTCAAATAGCATATATATATTTAAGGTGATTGAAAATTCATTTCATTGAAAAAAATAAAATAAAATATCTTTGTTGTGATCCGAAAGAATGAGATTTGAATTCATAGTATTAGTAAGCGACATATATATATATAGTTTTCTTTTATTGAAGTCAATAAACAATTATTAAAATAAAAAAAAGAAATGTAAGCGAGTAGTTTTAATAAAGATAGTTAATATTGTTTTAATAAAGTGAATTTTTAGTCATCAATTATAGAAGAGAAAAATCTTCTCTATCTTACAATGACTTATTATGTTTCACGTGCAGTTGCGAAAACAAGAGATACATTTATTCTAACGAAATTGAAAGATTATTAAATAGGAAAGCAAAAAGAAATTTCTCACATAGATAATTATGATATATTTAATTTGATTTCTTATTTTTAACTAATCGAATTTTTCTAGATACGATAGAATTTTCAAAAAACGACAAAGATCAATTAATTCTTCAACATCTTTATCTATGAATCGATTTTGTTCATTATTTTCTTTCGATTCATCCTTCAATCATCTTGAATCACTTGTTCTTTATGAATGTCAATCAGATTTATTTATCTCAATATTGAATAATTTATCTTGTTTAATTTCATTAACTCTTAAGATGTTCAAAGGTTTAACAAATTTAAAAAATGTTTATGAAATAACTCTAAAACTTTCAATGTTAAAATATTATAATGTATTAACAGAACCTTCAAATTTATTAATTTCAATACCTATTAATATTGATCAACAATTTAATTTTATTACACATCTTGTCATTGAAAATCATTGTAATTTTAATAATATTTTGACAATTATTTCATATACATCGCAACTTTATCGTCTAGATTATACAAATAGAAACTTTAATGATAGAAATATTGAAATAAATTCATCAATTAAATTAGCAAATTTAAAATATCTTTTCATACATATATTTAATACAAAATTTGATATATTTGAAATGTTTCTTAGAAAAATTGATTCAAAATTAAAAGTTTTTTCTTTTATTACTCGATATGAAGATATTACTTATCTTGATGCTAATCGATGGGAAAATCTTATTTCAAAATATTTGTTTCAATTAGAAAAATTTTATTTACAATATTTTGCAAGTTGTGAAAAAGATTCACAAACTCAAATTTATCATGGTAAACCAAATCAATTTATATCATCATTTTGGATTAAACGAAAATGGATATTTGAAGTTCAACGAGATTTGACAAGTATCATCTACTCAGTTCGACCATATAAGTATTTACAAAAAATAGGTTTATATTTTTAATAAGAAAAATCTATTATTTTATTCTTTGTAGAAAACGGTGGAATGAATATATTCAAGATGAGATTAAAGATGTTTCTTCAGATCTTTCGAAATCGACTCATTTAATTTTTGTGTATATGTGTCCAAATGAATGGCGGAATATTATTAATGTATATATTAAACGTATTTTATGTGTAACACAAATTTATCATTTGACCATTTCTGTAGAAAAGATTTTTGTTGGTGTTTTAATTTCAATCTTAGATTCATTGCCAAAACTTCAATCATTAAAAATTCATTGTTTGTCTTTTGCTGATCCAAAAAACATGAATCATAAAGATTATAAAATTTTTTTCTCAACAAAATCTAAAAGCAAAATTACCAAAGTCTATATTGAGAAAATTGATCACACTAAAGAATTTTATTTTCTAAGTGCACTTTGTCCTCATTTGATGTATCTTAAAGTTGACTGGATAAACGGTCAAGAGAATACGATGCCATGTCAACTTATTTGTTTGGAATGAGACAATGAAGCTCATGTTTATATTATATTATATTAATCACATTTATAATCTACTTAAATCATTGTTGTGTTTTTTTCTAGTAGCGAAATTTTCAATGAAATTTCTTCAAAATCGTTCTTGTTTTTTTTCTTTTTTGTTAAATTCATACTTGCATAAATAATAAATTATAATACTTTTTCATTGCAATAAATCTTAATAGTTATATTCAGTGTCGTTTCAAAGGCAGAAAATTAATGAAATACTTTATCGTTTTAGTAACTTGATTATTCATAAATTGTGTCATACTCATTGATTATTTAAATCAAATAATTTCAAAAGTCAGTATTATTATTAAATGAATGACGAAGTCATTTATATAGTTGTTGCTATCGTATTTTTTTTTCATTATTGGCATTTTCTACACCTACATCGCAACTTTGTACATCTACAGAAAAGTCCTTAGAGTAAATATTGCAATATTATTAGAAAAGAATATCATAGTTAATTATGAATTGCGATAGTACGAATGCAACCAAGCAGATTTACTTTTAAATAAGATAGTTTTATAAGTTTTATGTGGATCAATTTTTTTCCACAGGCGAAATTCGAACGAATCTTCATCTTCTTATTCTATGAATTTGAAAGATGGATAAATAAGTAATTATATAGATTGAGAAACACCTTAAAATTGAATTTTTGTTTGTTTTGGTCTTCAATATCTATTCGCGTACCAACTATGATAACAGTCGCATGTCATTGAAAATGATCAAATTAAATAATCGAGTATTAGAAGTTTCGATCCTAATTTAGTTGAGATGGTTAAAGGAAATATATCTCGTACATAACTTAAGGAATCGTTGATGCCGTCTATTAAGATCAAGTACAAATGGAAAATGATCGTTTTTTTATTTCAAATTCTTATCTATTTCAATAGTAAAATTAAGCATTAAAAAATAATAACAGTCAAAATATTGTAGGACTGTATTTCCAAAGAAAATCTTGAGTGCAAGTTATATCAAATATTCGAGAAGAGTACGAAGTTAATCTGGATCACCACCGTCTCATATGAGTATTTATTGTCTTGGAAGACATGACGACATTATATATAATACGTTTGATGCTGCAATTGAGTCTGACGAATCATTATCTATAGAAGAAGCATTGAGTTCTATGCGATCTGTTGCAATAGAACGTAAGTCAGCACAGTTTTCATCCAGGTATAAGATTGAAATCAAAGCTTCTAATGACGAGAAATATGATTATTATGAGGACAAAGACTATACTTCAAATAATAACAATTGTAATAATACTGGTAGAAATACTCCAGCAATTTTTGAATCCACAAATACTATACATGAAAAAAGTAAAATCAAGTACCAATAGTCAAACAACCTATCAAAAATTTTTTGAAAGAGCTTCATTCATATTCTAAATCGCTATCATTTTTAATATAGCATCATATATTAAGTAAAGAAATCTATTTTCCTCATTTGAAGAGACAAACTTAATAAAATGTTCTAAAACGTGATGATTGCATGAATATAAAATAGAGATTTTAATTGTCCATCTCATCTAGATCAGTTTTTATTATGACGAAATAAACTGAAATAATCAAAAGATATTATTTAAAACGTCTCTTTAATTAAACAAAAAGACAAGATCATATTGATTTACAATCGAAATTCTAATAAAATTTTTGTAGCCTATTTTTAATCTATATTTAGAATATACTTTGTATATTTCAATAGATTATACTAATATAATCAGAAAAATTTTAAAGGACGTCGAAATAAATTTTTAGTAATGGATTTTAAGATGAACAAGTACTTCTAATATCACAGTCGCATTAAAGTGAAAATATTTGTTAAGCGAAATAATTATAAACAATCATATGAATTAATTATTCGATTCAATTGAAGTTTATACTGCTTATTCTCTTGCTGATGTTCAACAGAGTGTTTTACTTTATTCAATTCTTCAAAAATTTCATCTTTTCTCTCTGAATAATTATGAGTCTTCAATATATATATTATTTATAATTTATTTGATGAATTATTTCTCGTCAATATTCAAACGTTTAATGATGATAAACTTATGTTTTATTTATTTCTTGTCGTTATTTTTTATTAATATAATATATACTGGCAACTTTCAATATTCATGATTCAATCATTTCTTATATTAATTTTATCATTAATTTTGAAAAGAGTATAGCTGAACTTGAATTTCGTAACTACATCCACTCTAATAATAAAAAATGTAATAAGAAAGAATATTTTCTCAAAAGTAAAGTTTGTATAAAAAAATTGACATCTTTCTTTTTGATTGTGATTGATTATCAGAAATAAATTGATTATTGGCTTTATGAAACAAATAGGAAGACTTCAATTGAATGTAACAGAAAGGAAAATTGATTAATCCAGACTTTCTCTTTTGAACAATGATTTCTTTTAATTTCACAGACTATACCGTAAATGAAGAGAAAATAGATTTGGCTAAAATTGATTAGATTTCCTAAAACTTCAAGGAGTCGGCACAACTTATCTAAGTTCACGGAAAATCAAGAAGAAAACAAAATAAAAATGTATTACGAACGAAAAATAAAAATAAAAAACATAGACAGAACAGTATATCTTTTTCAGTTAAATTTGTACTAGAACTTTCTTGAGTCTCACGACTTGAATTATATAGTATTTCTCTAATTGTTCGAAATACTTCTTTGTACAGATGATTCGAAGCCAGCAACATTTTATAGAGACAGCATGATTTCATTTGAGAAAAAATAAAGATGTTTTTTTTTTTTCTAATAAAATGTAAAGAAAAATTTTCTACTCCTCTAGGAAAAAAAACTCTCTGATTAGAAGAGGATGGCATCTGCAACACTTTCAATCGGAAGATCTCTGAATCGTCAAATAGTTGATGCAAATACACTAACAACACGAAAATTTTACATGCAAGGTGTATTGTGGTTAGCGAGCACGTCTACAGTTATTGATTTTCCTACTTCATAAAATCTGTTTAGTTTTGTATTTCCGAACATTTGAAGATTTATTAAGACCACGAAAGTTTTCGATCACATCAGTCATCTTAATCTTGTCTTGAAAAATACTATGTGATCACATATACCTGCAATACAATAACTTGGAATGAAACGAAAAAACTTAAGAGCAGAAAGAAAAGAAAGAGAAAAACTGTACAGAACTGGGTGTGGGTGTCCATGTAAATAAATCGAAGAATCATACTTACACTCATATCTACACACTCACACCAACACGCTGTATGCTGTGCCGATTTGAAATGCCCATCAAAGGCAACAACTACAATAACCTTATCGACGGCCTGATCAAGTAGAATCACAAAGTAACTTTAACATGTTTCAGTCATATCAAAATACCCAAGTTCATCAATAAACAGACAATTGATATTCTCTAGCATTTTCCACCATATATGTTTGCATGTATGTATGTGTGTGTGTGCAATATTCTGCACTGAAATAACACAATTGTGGCTGTTTTATGATAGTATTCTAATTCGCCACCTATATATCAATAATACGATTGACACATGCCAAAAATAGCAGACGCTCCATTTCTAGGAAATGTGACACAATCATACTACAATTGAGAACACAATATTCAGTAGAGTGCAGATAAATGACGTCAAACAGAGTAATTAACTCAGAGATAAACTAAATTTTAAACATATTATTGTAAAACAAACTGTCATACCATCTACTTCCTCGAACTTTAAACAAAAAAGGCTGATTTAACTGGCACCACCACTGCATCATCTATGATCTTAAATCGAAATACTAAATACAGGAAAGCACATATAATAACAAACTAGCGCAATACTTTGCAAAATATCGTCAACAGTATAAAATTACACAAATGCCGTCTACATTTTTCGTCCACAAACCATCATTTAAAATTAAAAGAAGCCATGAAAAAATAGAGATAACCCATACATATCCCATTCAGAATCGAAGCGATCGTCGTAAGTAGCTTGGAATTATCTTATAAAGACACTCACACCTACACCCTTGTTAGACCAAGATTCAATTATTCGTGCTGGCGTGATTTTACAAAGTACTTTCTTTACGCATCAATACATTCAAGTAAACTCTGGTCTTCTTGATCGATCACGACCTTTCACAGAATCTACCGTAAAAAAAAACTCGTTTGATCGCAAGCACTGTTAGTATTTCATCTTTATTTTCTTGTTGTAACTGACATCGAACCAAATACATAACTCTAGTTTCACCATCAAAACTGTGATTTCTATACTTCATCGTAGACAACTAGGCATGTTCTATTTTAGCAGCATGCCTTGGGATTCATGTTGATGAATAATCATTGTAATATCTTTTCTTTCATCATACGTCTTGTTTCACTTCCGAATACTAGTATCAAGATTCAAACTTTTTCTATTATGTTTGAATAGCTATTAATCCGGATAGATATTCATAACTTCTGCTTTATAAAATGAATGTGAGATTTGCAAATGAAATCAAAAGAAAAAACTTCTTCTAGAGAGATGCGATCACGCATTAGTGAATGAATCCTATCATATCAAGAGTCTACTTCTTGTAGCAGAAAGAAAACAAAGTCAGAATACTAATCTTAACTTTCTCTTTACAAGACTGAATCATCGCAAGGTCATATTGAGTATTCTCCTGAGGATTGAATTGATAATGTAGAGAAGCAGCGTACCTCTGTATATCTGAAAAATATGCATTCGTAATAAGTCTTGCAAGCAAACTCTATACCAATTCGCAAGAGATAACATTGAAAAACATCACAGTTTTCAACGAATCCCTATATAATGATAGGCTCTAAGTAAAACAAAACTTGAGTAACTAGATAGGATCTAAGAGCATTGCTTTCTTTTCAAAATAAAATTGAAAATTGTAAAGAAAAAAAAAGAAAAGGAACAACCATTGAAAAGATGAGTAAGTGCTAACTAATTGATAATGCTCATCGTGTCGGATGATGATTGACGACTCCATTCAACTGTCAACAGATAGATGAGTTCGCCTCACATTCTATTAAAAAAAAAGGAGCATGATAAGTTAGAATAGACATTGCGTATGTTGCAACAACATACCAAGCTTTTTTCGCACAACCATAATAGTAATCATCGCCACGATAATACACATGATCAGGAGGAGCAACACGTGTACGACAAACACGACTACCGGATCGATCTTTACCATCGCAAATGTTAGTCAGAGTACCGGTGTCACGACTGCCAGCAACAGAAAATTTACTGCAACCACATGTACGACTGCCAACACCAACAAGCCCCTGCAGAATACCAGTGCAAAGAACACAATGACCACTTTCAGGATCATCATGACCACAACAGTCGGTATGACTATTACAAACAGCACCAAGATTAAGGCAAGCACGTTTATTCCCAGCTTGCTGTGATTTTTTTCATTTTATCGCATGACAATGTTCAGTTAGAAATACTAAGATACACACAAAGTAACCACATGTTTAATATTATTCATATGGCTGGTGTCAATGGGCACAGAAATACGAGTATATGTAACAGTTATAAAATATGTGTGCTTATGGTTTTATACAAATACTGCGGCTCTTATATAAGCACCGATTATTGTAGAGAGATGAATGAAAATAAGCTTGTAGTCATTATGTAGAATGGAGCGAAAGCAAGCAGCTAACGGGTTGTTTGTGAGCAGAGAATATTTAAACAGTATAAAAAGAATTACTCATCTTCTCTTCGTTCGAGAACACGTAGACTTTTTTTGTCTGTAAGATATGCTTACGCATACAGTCGCTGAATGCGGACGAGGATGGATGAATTAATTGAAAACAAACAGATCTATCTCTTAACGAAAAGTCTATTCCATCTACTAATTTCAACGTTTGCCTTTCGGTTTTCGATTAACTCTCGATTCAAGGTTTAGCCTTTTCTTAATGAGAAACTATTTAACCACTTTTTACGGCAGTTGTGCAATTAGTTTGAGAAAAATCGTCCAATCAGTCTAATTCCAGAAAGTAAATAAAACACACTGAATGCCGTCTATACCCGATTGAAATCTCTCTTGGATATAGAGGGTGGCCCAAAATTTATCCGGTAGTCTTTAACTACCGATCACTTTTGGCTACCCTATCTCTATTTTTCCAATTTAGGATCTATATCTAAAAGCTGTTTATTCCAAGAAATATATTTTTGAATTAGTTAATCATCTTGTTCGAAATGCAAACCGTCAGCTTGAATCAGTGTGGGCGGTGAGTGCGGATGTGAGTGTGAGTGTTGGTCTTGTATTCACCCACACCCACATCCAGAGAAGATCCTTTCTGTCATCCGCTTTGTTAAAGAGAAAATGTTGAAAGATAGATTCTTTAATGTCAACGAAGTTTGATAAAACTTCATAAAGTATCGATCTTCCTTAGCAAACAGGTTTTCCCTAGTCAGAATATGAAGTGCACAAATCTTGAGAAACTATTTTATGATTTGAGATTTCTCGACTTTGAAAAATGTTTGATCAGATTTTATAAAGTAGAGTTGTTTGAAAAATAGCTTTTCCTTGATCAACTGACAAGTTTCTCGTTACCCATTACTGTTACGTAACAAGTGGCAACGCAACAAACAAGTAATGACAAATTCTCATCCATCATAAATTTCACAGTATCCGATTGAATTCAGTCCGAGATTCAATTAGTTACGTGGAGCACGCATGTAAGCTGTGTATGAAAAATACGATTTAAGTGTCAAGTCTTCACAGATACTTTTTCGAAATATTTGCTAACCATAAGCGACACATAATTCTAGTACAGCAAGTTCCAAGTTCAACTCCTGGCTTTTATACATCGACGCAGAACTCTTTGTGCTTTAAAAATTTTCGAGTGACGTTTATTCTAGATTGAATCTACCAGAGTAGCAGAAAATAAATATTATGAGATATGATGGCTTACTCTAACTATTGAATGAGTATTTATTCCAATAATGAACGCTTCAAGAATGAAAGCAAAAGCAAGTTCCACAAAGAAAGTCGATCCAAACTAAAAGAGAAAGAGTGTGAAAGTGAAGAACCTTTATCTATCTAACGTAAATATGAAAGAGGCTGTAAGGCAATTCGAAAGAAAACGTTATTCGGCACATATATGATCTGATTAACTACTGCTGGAAAACCTAACAACTGTAGCGAACAAATCGGCTTTGATGCACTGTGTTCTACAGTATTTAATAATCTAGTGAATTGTAGTACCTAGTCTAAAATCATAGTATTTGATCTGCAAGAAGTCTTTAGATTAGTATGGATGCTTCCATCAAGAGAGAATGTTTGAGCTCATTACTCTGTCTTGTCAGAGTCACGAAAACGAGAGAGCATAATGCTGTAATTTCAAGCAGTCTGGCCAAGAAATTGCCAAAAAATCTGAAATTACAATTTTGCTCTTCAATCTCTCTCATACATAACAATGAAAAATGGCTAGAATTACTTCATTTTTCTTTTTGCTGTGATGGAAGAAAAGAAAAAAGGAAAGGAACAATTACGTATCTTCAGAGTACTAATGGATTACTGCGTGGATGTAAAATGGAAAGTAACGACATAATAATATGAATCCGTTGCTTTTCTTTTCCTTTTTTCTTGTCACCAATAAATCTGTAAGTAGGCGTTCTTTTTCTTTTTAAATTACAACATAATGTCCCATACACCATCATCTTTGATGAAAAGAAAGAAAGCATTCATCATGCAAACTTATAAAGCATATTCAAAATCGAATATAGTATACTTCTGAAAATAATAGTTACAAGAGATGGCGATCGTTTACTACGATAGATTAGGATAATAGTTTATAAAAAGGAAATTTTAGTAAGTGCTCATAGTTAAATGACTACGAACACTTTATACGTTTTCTTCGCAGATAACTAGCTTATGTTTTAGCAAATTTCAATTCCAATTTTTTCAAAACGATTAAGGAAAGAGAGAGCTTCGAAATTTAGTACATTAAATGGGTGATACAAAGGTATTTAACAATAATAAGTTTCATTTCAATTAGGTTTATACTTTTCTTCTTAATAAAATAAATCCATTCTAATAGTGCACTCACACAAAAGAACCAACTTTTTTCGATAGTCTCGGAAATATTAAATTTCATGTAAATTCCTCAGTTTTGGAAAGATATGTTTGTCAGGAAGTTTGTACTAGAGAGTTGGAACCATCTGATTGAAAAACGCATTTTGAAAAAATATTGTGTTGCTCCAGAACTATAGTTAAAATACTACGGTAATGAACTCATGCCTTATTTTGAAGACTTTCTACTTTATTTCACACATTTGAAAAGTGACATAACTTCCTTTCCTTTTATTTCTATATTTTATAGTTTTTTACAATAAGGAAAAAAAGTCAGTCTACAGTCGTTTAATCTCAATGTTTTTATCTTGCTTTTGAAAGAATATTTTCTGATTTTCTGTTCTAGAGATCAGTGCAATATGAAATGGCAACATTCGATAGATGCATCAAGAAAAAAAGAATGAAAGAAAAACTAAATGACATCTCGAGAAAGTCTCGAGTGAAAATTGAAATCGAAATCACTCTCCACTGTTCATTCTTTAATTTTCAATAATTCTTATATTTTGAATTAAGTTCTATAAGGATGAATCAAAAATGTTTTCGCACTTATTGATTATTAGTTTCGAAAGATATTCTTTTATTTATATAGATCTTGTTTATTTTTGAAGAAATATTTTGTATCGACTAGTAAAGAGAAAATAAAATATCTTTTCCAGAGGACATACAAACATGAAAATTTCAATGGGAAACCTCTGGTAAATATTAATTAGTTATTTCTTTACGCGAATAATGTAATTCATATTTTTAAAGAAAATTCCGTAAATAATTATCAATGCAACCACATGTTACATATTCTTTATCATTGACGATTGAATTTGATTTACATGAGCTTCTTCGAACCAATGCAGTTAATGTTCAATGAATGTGGTGATTGATCTACTTAAGTTTCGTTAGTTGAAGTTGTTGCACATCGATCATCTGTATTTCCACCAACAACATTAAATCCATCACTAATAAACATGTTCATCGGAGTAATTAAGCTATAAATATTGAACTAAGATAGTAAATGTGCCCAGTGACCAACGACTATTGCAACAAATAAAGACTGTAAAATTGAGAAAGAGATAATCATATGCTCTATAAAATGTCATTAGATATAAAAATTTCTTTTTTAAGATTTATCATTAATATGATCATATTATTGACTAAAATATGATGATTTATAAACAACTCAACATCAACAATCAACATAATATTAATATAAAGTAGTTCAAATGAAAACCTATTTCAACATAATTGTCAAATCTTGATAAAATCTTGCAAAAAAAAATCATTTCTTATTCATGGTGCAGCATATGTTAACAGAAGAATATATTGAATATAATGTAACGTTGTGTTCAGACGTTTGCTGCACACACAATAAAAGAATAACCATCACAGGAAAAATGAAAACTAACAATAAATAATAATAAAAAAAAAGAACAATAGAAACAAATTGAAAACATAACTTAATCTAATTGATTCAATAAATAAAAAATTAATTAAAAGAAAGAGAATTTATTTCTAAACAATGAAAATAAGATATCATAGCTATTTCAACAATATTTTATCTCAAACTGATATTATTAATTATTTGGTGTGGGTGTGGTTCAAGAGAAGCCTCGCATCCACACCCTCCTGTATCTAAGCATACTCTTCAAACCAAAACCGGATTGTCCTCAAATCTGTATAGGTTTAATCAACTTTTCTATGTTTAATTTTCTTTTTCAGCAATTTGATTTATATATGAAGAATTTAGAGAAAGATTTCAATATATTAGCATCCGAAAAAGAATAGCTTGAACGAACAATATAAAAATGAAGTAAATGAATGTCGTTTTATCATATGACAATAATCTCTAAGGTCTTTTATCAAATGATGTTCGTTTTGATGTAGAAAAAACAATTGATTTGTTAAAACAACATTAAAATCAAACCTAATAATATATTGTATTTCATTCTATCCAAAAAACTATTTTTTCATAACTTTTACTTTGAACTTTTTCTCTAATATCTGTTGATTGTTTCTATGCATAAAATTCAATTGATTTGTAGTTACAATCGTTGTTTTTTTTCTCTTTCTTTCTCAATAGCGTAACTATGTTCTTACGCTTTATATAATGCATTTAAGAACAACACTCCTTTTTCTTTTCTCTCTCTCTCTCTCTGGTCTTTTATTTCTTCACACCATCAAACGTGCATGCAATTTTATTTTTCTGAAGTATCCCTAAAAATGTTCGATCACATCATCAAAAATCTAAAAGTAAAAATGTGCAATACAAATGTATTTACATTTATTTCATATAATTTAAGTTAAAAGAAAAATTGAATTGTTATTTATGTATTTTCTATTTCTTTGTCCTATACTTCAGATTAAATATCGAATAGATGATGATTTTTGAATCATTTTATCAAAATCCAATTCTACGT